GACAAGCATAAAAACAAAACAAAGGTTGGAACTGCTGTGTGGGATATGAAAAAAGTGCCTTACTCAAGATAAAAATAAAATAAAAAATAAAATCCTGAACATACAAGATCTTTTTAAATAGTAAGCTGCAAAAGAATTAAACAATTGAGGCTGTAAGGATGAAGGGACAGCTTTAAGTTTTGCATAGCATTTGTATGAAACTTATTACTCATAAAGTTTAACCTTGCTGTATTTAGTAAATCATAAGACTGAGGGACATTTTTGCTGTTTTGTATATTGTAAGAATATGTTGAAATACAGTATGTTGCAGTTTTTCCATTTTTGATTGGCTCAAAAGTCAAAGTTTAGATTCTTCCGTGTTTTCCTGAAAGCACCACTGGTCTAGACTCTCTCTCTCGCTCTCTCTCATAGAGAGTTCTGATTGGCCGAAGGGACAATCAGTCTGTTGTGGGCGGGGTCTTAGTCGCGGTGTCTGCTGCGCTTCAGCAGCAGAGAGGACTACAGCAGCTTCCCTCAGCGGCGGAGGAAGTCATCGAGAAGCACCGCGATGTGTCCTCGAGCCGTTTTCTGACTCCCTCCCTCCCCGACCGGCTCCGACTCGAACATGGCGTGAGCCCGGACGCGGGGACCGGTGATAAAGCGCGACACTGTTGGGGGTAACTCGTAGCGAGCGGCGGACTGCGCTGCCGCTGCCCGCTGGAAGTTTGCTGTTGGTTCTCCGTCGGGGCGTCCCGACGGCGGCGGCGGTGGCGGCGGCGGCGGCTCTCTCCCCGGAGCGGTGTCCCGGTCCGTCCAGCCCCATGCAAAACGCAACGGCCCCTGGCGGCCCCGGCAACACCAATGTCACCTGCTCCTGCAACTGCACCGCTTCCCATGCACAGGGAATGGAGATATGTGAGTAGCGTTTCCTCTTCATGACCCCCTGAAAACCTGCCGGGRGGGCGACTCTAGTTCTGATCCGTTTTATGTGAGCCCTCCCCGGAGCCGCAGGACAACACGTTTAGACCTAATTTTAATCCAACACTTTTCAGCTGCTCTTACTGTAAACCTGTAAGTTGGCTTTAAGTAATTAGAGGGTCTCACAGGAACTTCACCCAACCTAATATTATTTATAATAAAGTGTTTATAACAAGTAAATACTACTAATAAGCATGTGCTTAAGTTCTTATAGCTGGTAAAATGTTAGGTCTAACTGTGTGGAGGTTTATTTATTGCTGTGCAAATGTTCCGGTTGTTTTTATGTTTATTATTTTTGTAGATTCCAGTATTTTTGACRCCTCTGCTATGACTAACTCAGCTTGTAAGGACCGTTCCTGGTCATATTTGACCCTTCAGGCTGCGCATATGCTGTGAGAGATTACCACAGAGGGTTAAATAGTTTGCCTGTCAGCACAGACAGGAAACGCTGGAATGGTATGTTATGTCTGTCTGCCCTCTGAGCAGCCCGGGGAGAAACTATCATTATCAGCTCTGCCCCACTGCTGCTGCTGCTGCCTGATCCACTGCAGATGTTCCTCCTTTATGGCTGAGCCTTCAGAAAAAACAGGCAGATTGGTGCCAATGCAGAGGAGGACAGACAGAAGTGTGTCTGTCCGAGCAGACAGACAGACACACTGATAAAGACATGTAAACAGGAGAGGAGCACTCAGACAGGTGGACTCATAACCAGGAGGGTTGATAATATAATTAGAGCTATTCTGCTTTTCAACWGTTTTTTTCTTTTTATTTTATTCTTAGAAACATTAAACACAATTTGATCTGTTAATGATAGAAAAATGTGTTGCGAGTAACTGTCTGCTACTGCCACGCCAAAGCATAGCTCATAATCTGTGAAATTGACTTTATTATAGCCGTTTTTGTGTGTGTGTGTGTGTGTGTGTGTGTGTGTGTGTGTGTGTGTGTGTGTTTTTATATCGATAGTTGTGGCAGCCACCTTGAACTAGGTCGACTCCAACAGGTGTCAGTTATTGATGATTACGTTCTGAGACTTTCGTTGATATCCATCCTGTGCTTTATGAGATATTTTGCTAACAGAAGCACACAGTTGTGAAGTGATGCACTTTAGGACTATGTTGAGGATGCCGCTTAGGCTACTACCACACCAAATCTTTTGTTTTTGATCTTGATAATTTGCTGATTGACGTCCCATTTATGTGTTTTTTTTTTAAGTCTGTTGGCTACGGTGGCCATCTTTAATTGGGCTGACTTGAAAAGCCAAAGACTTGTAGGTGTGCATCTAATAATTACTCTCTTTGAGTTTCTTTAAATCCAGTTGTTTTGCAAACAGTACAGACAAACAGACACAGGGAGCTTGAAACACCTCCTTATAGTCAGAAAGGTGAATAAGTTGCGAGACAGACAGACACTGACGAGTTAAGGACAGACAGACAGACAGACAGACAGTCAGACAGACAGACAGATGGACAGAGTTCCTGTGATGTGTAATTTCCATCGGGGCTGTGGCCAGGCCTGGGCAACATGAGATGAATGCAGGATATTAGATTTAGATCTGGCAGCACTGTGTGGTTGTGCTGACGCCACATTGTAACCAAGAAGTAAGAGTGTGTGTGTGTGTGTGTGTGTGTGTGTGTGTGTGTGTGTGTGTGTGTGTGTG